TGTTACAGGTGTGGGGTTAGGTTTAGGACCAAGGTTAAGGTTAGTTTTGGGGTCAGGTAAGTTTCTGTGAGGTTAATTTTAGAGTATATGATCAGGGTTAGGCTATAAAGTCTAAAAAACCTAACACCTAACCTGTGTGTGCAGGCGCACTTAAAACTCTTCAGAATCCCTCCAAACATTGCTCCTGGCTGCGTCTCGTGGTGCCTTCAAGCGTCTGAGTGCATCAGCCTCACTAAATAAACACAGGAGGTTTATTGCTGAACTTTTCAGATAATTCATGCAAACACCCTTCCTGTCCCAGAAGGCATGTTGTTGTTGTCCTGCTGCGACCCTCCTCAAGCTTCCCTGGCTTCGGTTGTAGAGAGATAATGTGCATTCCATTTGGATTTGGGTTTTCTCGCTCCTTCCTTCACCTCTGTCCCGCTTCTCTCCTTCCATTTAAGGATTACTGGCTGCTTCGCAGTCAAGGCTATCCAGCTTTTCTCCACTAAACCCCACAGAAATCAGGGAATAAAACCCGAATCGTAAACTCCAAACCCTTCGTTTTTTTCCCATGAAAATCCTTCAAACCGTCTCTAAAGATCCGTTCTAACTGGTGGTCTAGAAAGTGCCACATAAATAAAGTTTATAGCCTCCTCTAAGAGCTAAGAAACGAAACAAGCAGGGGCTGATTATATGTTTCTCGCAGCGCCAATCAAACATATAATCAAGCCGTGTTTGACTTCTTCACCCGGAGAAGTCTCGAGGGCCGCTTGTGRTGCGCTTCAACATTTATCTGTGGCTACTGGAGACAAGAAAAAGCCCCGAGGATGAGTCAAACCCACCAACTGAGKCCATAAGAAGGCATGCGTCATGTTAGTCAGACCCCCCAAAAGAGACAAATCCATCACTGAGGCTTACAAATACAGAAGCCATGAGCTGGGATCTAATGTTTCTGCAGGGGTGTTTGCACAAATCTGTTTCATGAAAGTGAATCTTTAGGCAGAGTTACCCATAATGGCAGCTGTGTGTATTTGTTGTTCTCACCCCTCTCTCCTGAGATCTCCATCTGCCTCGTTAACTCGTCCATCCCATCTTTTCCAYCGAGGCGAGGATTGAGAAACTAGAAGAGAACGAGGGGAAACATGTTGAAATTAACTGCAGCCGTGCACATCCAAGCGAGGTTTTTTCTGCGAGGCGTGGAAAACTTCATTTCAGCGGCCAGTTTAATGAAGACGAAGAACGGGATCTGAATGTTCTGTTTTGAATAAGGAGCTGCTTGTTTACTGCAACCGAATGAAATTTCTTCCAGCTTATGATGAAAAAAAAAAACTGTCGCCACATCAGTCGCATGATCATATTTAAAAACCCGCAGTCAGATGCTTTAAGCAGCTCTTCTCATTGGACAAATGCCCTCAGTGAGTGTAATAAAAACACTGATTCTGCAACAAGGACCGTTCCCAACGTGTTTACCTTTCGTGTGAATCCCACATTAAAGCTACGATGGATCAGCCATAGAACTGAGAAGAGGTTTTTTTTTTATTATTATTTACTTTTGTGTCTTAGGAGACCAAAAAAACAACAAAAGGAACAAAAGGAAGTTGGCAGATCAGGGAACAGCTCTGAAAAGATTATCCTCTCGCCACACCCTGCATGGTAAAATGGCCATTTACCCACTTTTTCCACTGTGATTTGATGTTTAGTAACAACTGAGCAGGATTCAATTCTGCTTTTAGTTGTTGCACTAAAAATCCAAATTCTAGACTCAATTTTTAAAAAAGTTTTTTAAAGCAGAGGTCTGCAGCTTTGACTAAAAAACATAAAAATGAATGATACTGATAGTAGAAATGGCTAACTTTAGCAGTTTCCCTGACTAATTTTAATACAAGAAACAAAGTATGTTGATCATTTTTTGCCAATAGTTTATTAGTTATTACATTAATCCTACTTCGAGCCACACAGAGGGACTTTACCCGGAAATCCAACAAAATATAAAGGTTCTGGAATTTAAGTTGTTGAGAAGAAAAACAGAAAGTGCAAACTCATTATATTAAAGAATTCTGCAAAAAAAAAACAAATATGGCAATTCACCTGGTGTAAACAAGTGTTTGATTGAAACTTAATCAAAGTCAAGGAATCAAAGTTTGTTTTTAGTCAGAAAGTTTAAACCTCCTGCTGTCATTCAACAAAATGATCCACGAGGTCATTTTGGTCAAAAGGCCAAAMRATAACCAGGTGTTCCTCAATAATTWAGTCTGAAAACGTTTACTCCSGTAGGTTTCCAGCTACATCAAATGTAAATCTGTAATGTGGGTCCACGTTCAACATAAACAAAGCGCTCAGTTGTGAATCCAACAAACATGTGGAAGCCTGAGTAACGTGGCAGTCTGTGTAAACAAATACAGATTTATAGAAGTAAGTTTAACGCTTTAACTATTTTTGGGTCACTTCGGCTGTTTCCAAAACAATAAAAAGTATGTTGGTATCTGCTTAACAAATTTTGCTTACAATATTTTTTTTTATTTGAGAACACACAAACCATCAAAATTAGAGAAAAATAGTATGCAACTTCTGTCTCAGACTTTATC